CAATTTGTTGTCATCATGCTTCTAGGTTCAGGTATATAAATTTGTTAAGAAACAAGTTGCGAGCATAAAACTTTCATGATGGATTTAGCTCGTAACAGAGTAAAATCGGATTTTAAATCTTGATCCACGGCCTCAAGTTTAGATCAAGCCAGAAGTATGAAATAAGAACAAAGCAAGCTGTGAATCTGAAATTTCACATTTTTGTTTGCCGAACACAGGTCAAAAAATTATTTTGACGAGACAATACTAATCCATGATATTTCAGCACTGTAAATGATGATAATGATTTCAAGTGTCTCAGCGCACACTCTGTCGACACAGAATCACAGCAGTGGTGCTACGTTGTCAGGAGTGTCTCGTGCCGATGCCGAATTATGTGGCTATTCAGAAGAATGTGGCTTTGTTCGGTTCACGTATGTGATGCTTGGAAGTGCCATCGCTGCATGTGGTTGTATTTTTAACGTCATCCTCATTTTTGCACTGAAAAGGAAGACGAAGCCGGACGTCCCACCAACGTTATTCCCTGTCGTTTTAGCTCTCCTCGATGCGCTGATCTGCTTTTTCTACATTTTCTTGTTCGGAGTGGATGCTGCTGCTATTTATTTGCACCATGCGGTTCGACTTTTCTGAAATTGCAAACAATCAAACGAAAAGCGCAATATAATTACAAGGGCAGTGAGCAGCGCGCACAAGGGAGAAGGAGATGGGGGAACAGCAGCACGCTTTTTTTTATAAATCTGCTGCAGGTGCGATTTAATTGCCTGGTGTTTCCAGGATGACCAATGAAGTGATTCGGGGTGTAAAAAGCAGCAAAATTTCGTACTTACGAGTGTTCCCCTGGCCAGCTGCACATGGACAAAGAGTCATAAATCTGAAATCACCTGGACTCAGTAGCTTTTCCCGACCACCAATCCGGCTTTATGCACTCAGTTGAAGAATAGAAGTAGAACAGTTATTCTAATTTGCTTCATTTTTAAGCAGCCAGGCGCTAAGAAGAATTTGCAAAGCATGATGATCACGAAGGTTTACGTCAAACTATTTGACATAAAATTTTCGAGTTTTTGCGTTCTAAGTTCTGAAATTAGCCTAAGTCCGGACTTTGGAGCTACTCATCAAACTTTAGTAAGAGCTAATTCTAGATTGCTTGTTGCAGATTGTTTGGTGAACAGTTTATCAATTTTTAAATCTTCAACTTGCTCTTTTACAAAATTGCCTTTATCTTGAGTTCACTTTCTGGTCACGATATACAAAGGTTTAAGATGTCACTTCAGGTTATGCAAAGTTTTCGAGAACTATGTCCCAAAAATTCCAGTTTACAGCTTTCCTAGCCATAAAATTCTATAAGCCTAAGTTCAGTTCTGAAATTATCACAGTTACGACAGACAGAAAAGTCCTAGTGCTGGTTTTTGATTTGTTTCTCAGTCTATGGTCAAATACAAGATCCTCGAAAATTTAGTTTTTTTGTTAATTTCTAAACTGGAATAACCTAAAATAAAGTATACAGAAGTAGATTCGTCTTACCGCATTTCTGCATTAAGCAAAAGTGCTAAAAAACAGAGTGCTAGAAAGAATTGACCTAGTGACCGCCTGCAGTCATTCATTACTGTGATCGAAAGTTCAGAAAGAAGCCAAAAAAATGATTAACTCACTGGCATGTTAAACAGGCCATTCACTAACTGACACTACGGATAAGTGGAACGAGTGGGATAAATTATTCATATATATATATATATATATATATGTATATATATATTGATATTGACGTCGGATTTAGCTACTTAAAACTGAACGGTCAATAATGAAAACGCTGTTTTGAATTTGACAAAAATCAAGTAATTCCAAAAAAAGCAGGGAAATTAAATCGAGTAATGAATTGCAAATGAAGTCTTTTGGTCATTTAATATTAACAAAAGGCAGTGATTCTCATAAAAAAAGCTCACACAAACTACGACCCAGACACCTCAGCCGTAAATAGAATGGCAGGGTAGAAAAAGTGACACATTTAGCACTTCCCCCGGAAAAACAAGGAAGTAAGATGGCTGGAGTATAGTAATCAGAACCAGTAGGTAACATTAGGCAAGTCCCCATTAATCATATCAACGTTAGAAAGGTTGCAATGGAATAAAGCTACAAAAATTCGAAGCAGCAATTAATTAAATTATCAATACAGAATAATTGCAAAGTAAAATAGATCTCGGTACACTTAAAAACCAAGCTGGTCTAACAATACTTACAGAGCACACTAAAAGTAGCGAATTTGTAGACGTTATTTCGAATATACCACGTTTATGTTGTGCCTGCATTTGTTGCTTCGAAGATGACTCAGTTCGCAATACCGTATATGCTCATTCTGGCTACACTAGAAAGGCTGCTGTGGATTTCCAGAGGCCGGTTAGTTTTGCTGTACTGACACGCGCAGCCAAAAGACAAAGCCCGTGCTTTCATCTTTCCTTTTCACCATTACCTTTTCTCTATATCTAAACAGAAGCTAGGCAGCAGCCCATTAGGCATTTTCGTGCGAACTGTGAAGTAGTTAAATTGTTAACAGTTTAACATGTGCACTCATATTGACG